CACATTGTTGTTTCAGAAACACTTTCACTGACAAAAGATTTTTCATTTCTTCAATTATCTGTGACCTTTTCACAACAATTTTTTCACTCCTTTCTCCATATCAGACCCTTTTATTGGCTCTTTATTTTTCATTATGGTGGATTTTGCCATATATTAAGTGGCCAGATCCGACATGTGTTCCACTTTGCAATGAGTTCTTTTTTCACTTTGTCATTCTCACTGCTTTCCTTTTAGGCTTGTTTGGATCACTACTCTGTTTTAGGGCATGATTACTTATTTTCAATTAAAATATTTAACCGTTAAACTGTCCAAACGTAGATCTACGTTTGCACGCATAGCGCTCCAAACGTAGATCAGTTTTATTTTTCATTCCTTCAAATTTGATACAATAGGCTTGAGTTCCCTAGACATGAAAGAATGGGTCTATGCACTCAGTGTGTGCACTACTAAAAAATCTGGGAGCACTTAGTACCTTGCGGGAGTGCCAGCTAGAGCAAATAGCGTGACAAACACCAGGGATTCACTGATGCTATGTCACATTAACACTCCCATTTTAAGAGGAAAGTAAAAATAGGTTAGATAAATGCATGAGTGAGTGTGAGTGGGTGTGAGTTGAACCTGACTAGCTTGTACTACTAGGTCTGATGTCATGCTCCTTCCTTCAATGGATGTGACCTGACTAGGTGGGTCATTGGTCTAAACTGGAGGGGAGGGTGACATGTACCTGCCTTCCGTGGGCCAGTAAGCCTGCTGCAGTGTTCCTTCTTTCTTATGTTCTCATGTATTCGGCAGGCTGGCCGGCTGGCTTGCTTTGGCTGTCTCTGGCTCTGTCTATATCTCTATCTGTCTATATCTCTGTCTATATCTCTGTCTCACATGTACACATAAGTACAGTTATTATACATAGTATAAATTACCTAGGATAATCCAGAAATTCCAGGCAAAAATAGACAGACAAATAGATAGATAGACACACAGAAACATGTTTGTGTGTATCAGTGAAAACAAATAAAGCAGGGTTCCCTTGAGCACCCATTTATAAAGTGTCACCGAGCTGATAAAAGATGTCATAACAAGATTCTTCAAGGTGTGTGATATACATATACTCCAGGCAGACAGAAAGACAGATAAGCAGACACATACAGGCAGATAGAGACAGATAGACAGACACAGACAGACAGACAGGCAGGCAGATAGATAAATAGACAGAGAGACGAGATATGTTTGTGTGTAACAGTGATAACAAATACAGCGAGGGTTAGCTGGAGAAGTGGGCATTTATCAAATGTCACTGGGCTATCAACAGTATAGGGATGCCTTTCATAACAACATGCTTCAAGGTATACTCAGGGTATCTAAAACATTGCTGGGACCTATAAATACTTTGTATACATTTCTAGACAAGAGTAAATAACCCAAGCTGGTGTAAATGTTCACCTGTCAATGTGATTGTGACTATTTGAGCACTATTTCAGTACCTAATATTAGTGTCAGAACAAAGATTGGCTATGAAATTACAAGAACTATTGTAAATTGTAATTATCAGAACATAAAAAATATATAAAGTAAAAATGAGAAAAGAAGGTATATCGGCAACACTTCTGCAAGCGGCAGGAGTCGATGTTGCTGACAGGTGAGCATCCAGAGCCAACTTCATGGTCTTGTATCTCTGTAAGTACTGACCCTAAATTTTTTTTTTTTTATCCTATAACATGTAGAAAAATGTGCTCTTCATTTTAACCCTTTCAGGGTTGGCAGGCCTTCTCCTAAACTTGTTATCAGGGTCGGAAATTTTTCGAAATTTTTTTTTTTATTATTATGAAATGATAGAGAATCTTTTCCCGATCACAATGACACCAAAAGTAAGAAATTTGATGAAAAACTTATGGAATTATGCTCTCGCAAAGTTAGCGGTCTTGACGATGTTTATGCATCGGCAATTTCGCCCACTTTGGGCCCTATTTTCAGCCAATTCCAATGTACCAGTCGACAGAAAATCGTAACTATTTCGCTAGAACTCCAGTTTTTCTATCGAATGAGTACAAGAAACCACCCATTTATTGATTTCAACTATCCAATAAAGTGGTCAGAAACTGGCAATTTTGCCAATTTCACACAAATTTCAAAAGATGCCAATTTCCAAATACGGTCCAGAATAAACAAGACAGACATTCCTGGCACTAAAATAACATTTCCTCTGTTCATTAGTCACGTCCCCATGCCTCTGTTACATTTCTTTTGCTTTCTACTTTGAACTTTTGTTCTCACAAAAAATAGAAGATTTACTTAACGTTATGCAGTCTACTGCATTAGTGTAGAAATGGTGTAGAAATGGTATAATTAATATCAGCACACTTGTGAAAGAATATTAGACTCACCAGTCGACGTGTATTGGATGCATGGCATGATTTATTTACTTTTGAACTTTAGCAAAAATTGAACATTTCTGCTACTTTGAGCTCAATTTCAAGGCCCTTTTCTTTGTGAAACCAGTCAAAATCATCTCAATTTCTATAATATGTCTTCCATTCTATAAAATGAGACCAGGAAAACTAGAATACAACCATAAATAGCATACGAAAATACACTGCAAAGTCGCTGTTTTAAACCAAAAACACGGTTGAATTTTTTTTTCTCTCATTATGCACTGTGTGCTGCAGGATTTTTTTATACTGCACACGCTGACCACATAGACCCATTCTTTGATGTGTAGGCCTACCAGCTTTCTCTCGCTAGATTTGAAGGTGCTAGAATTTATGCGTACTAGTATGGCACCAACCCTGGCGTACAAGCCGTACTAGTACGGCACCAACCCTGAAAGGGTTAAAAGAAAAAAACGATTTTTTTATTTTTCAAAACATTCGGAGCGCCACTTGAGTGAATGTAGATCTACGTTTGGACAGTTTAAGGGTTAAGGAATTTGTGGTGTATTTGTATTTTTTTTTTTATGGTAGTATTCTTCATTTCTTGGCATCATTTGATAGAATGGAATATATATTACAGAAGATGAGATGATTTTGATTGGTTTCAGGATAGGAAGTACGTAGCTTGAAATTGAGCTTAATTAAAGTAGTGGAAATATAAATTTTTGCTGATATGCCAGAACAAACAAATCACGTCACTCGCCCAGTACACGTCCAGGTGGTCGGTCTAATATGCATTCACGAATGTGCTGACGTTATTTATACAATTATTTCAATAATGTAAATGTTGCAGTTTTATAACTATAGTGTAAGTGCTCCTCTGGCAAGACAGTGATGGAGTGAATGATGAAAGTTTTTCTTTTTCGGGCCACCCTGCCTTGGTGGGAGATGGCTGATGTGTTAACAAATTAATTCCATTTTTTTTTATTAAGTCTTGTAATGTAACCCATGAACAGAGGAAATGTTATTTTAGTGCCAGGAATATTTACATTGTTTATTTTGGACCCTATTTTGAAATTGGCATATTTTGAAATTTGAGAAATTGGCGAAATTACCAATTTCTGATCACTTTATTGGGTAATTGAAATAGTTGATTGGGCGATTTCTTGTGCTTAATCGATAAAATGGAAGCCATACCAGTGAAATAGCTAAGAATTTGGTTGATTGTAGCAGTGTAATTGGCCTAAAAATAGGCCTCAGTGGGCAGAATTGCTAATGTGTAAATATCGCTGATACAGCAAAATTCGCGCAAGCATAATTTTACCAGTTTTCCATCAGATTTCGTACTTTTTGTTTTATTACTCTCAGGAAAAGATTCTCTACCTGAGTCAAGGTGATCTAAAAAGAATTTTTTTTTTTTATTTAGTAGTTAATACAGGAGAAGGGGTTACTAGCCTTTTGCACCTTGCATTTTAGTCACCTCTTATGACATGCATGTTCATGCCATCATACAATTATTAATTTCACCACTCCTTATTCTCTACAGCATGTGCTGTTGGAGTGTGAGCAAAGTAACATTTATGAAGGGATTCAGGGAAACCGGCAGGCCGGACTTGAGTCCTGGAGATGGGAAGTACAGTGCCTGCACTCTGAAGGAGGGGTGTTAATGTTGCAGTTTAAAAACTGTAGTGTAAAGCACCCTTCTGGCAAGACAGTGATGGAGTGAATGATGAAAGTTTTTCTTTTTCGGGCCACCCTGCCTTGGTGGGAATCGGCCACTGTGTTAATAAAATAAAATAAAATAAAAGTATTCTCTACATAATATTTACAGCACATAATCTCAGACACAGCTTCATTTTGCCTGGGGTTTTCTCCATGTAAGATTTAAATGTGCCACCACTTTTTAGTATCCATTGATAAAATTTTCTTTCCACAGACTCCTCAACATTCCAGCTACCTTTTTTTCCCCTCATTCATTATTTTGATTCACCTCATCTTTTATAGACCAATCTTTTGACATTTCACCTCAAAATATTTATGTTCATTAATATCCTCTATTCGCCTTCCTTCCGGTCATTTTTAACATGCATTTTGTGTTATATCAATTTAAAAAGTGATGACTCGGATTTCCGGTCAACTAAATTTCTTAATGATGAATTTTGTTTATCTAAATCCTGATGGTGAAAAAACCTACTTGTACATAAAAGAAAGCATGTCATGACAAATTTTTATAACTTGCTCTTTGGGCTTGAGGGTATGGTGTATGGTACAAGCCTTTGCGTGCGTATTTATATAACCATGTAAGGGCTGAGCTTGCCATGTTTTGTGATGCATTAATTCGTTCTTTTCTTATTTTTTATGCTAATTATCTGAAACTTAGTTCATGGCAAATGCTGTTCGTAGTAAGGCTTTCTTTCGGTTTAATTTTTTTTTTTTAAGGTCTGGTGTGGGACTGCTCGAACCCTTTTTAGTTTCTTCAACATTTAATTTTCATTTCTTATTTATTCCATTTCTAAACCTTTGTTTATTTATAGAAATATTGCTGCTGTTATCTGTGCATATTTTATATTTACTTTTATTTCCTGCATATAATACAAAAATATTTGCCATTAAGTCCGATTCATCTACCTTCATCAGATTTCAAGAAGTGCTCGATCCCCACAGGTGAAGATTTTGGTCCCCAATAGTACAGCGGGCATGATCATTGGTAAGGGTGGCACTTACATCAAGCAGATCAAAGAAGAAAGTGGTGCTTATGTTCAGATCTCGCAAAAGGCAAAAGATCAGTCTTTGGCTGAACGGTGTATCACTGTCATATGTGAGTTGTTTTCTGCATTTGCATATTTTTTAGATAGTAATATTTAGGTACAAGAAACATTTTAATATGAAAGTTCTGTACTCGCAAGATTGGTTTAGATGTACACCTACCATCTGACTTATGACCTGCTTGATATATGACCACTCTACTTACGACTATGATTTGTATGCAAATTGTCTGGGAAATAAACAACTGTTTGTGTTTTACACAGTGTGTCTCCTAAACCTTATAGTATAAAATACAGCACTAACAGCATGAAAAGTAAAGTAAAAAATGAAATACCAAAATAAAACAATAAAATAAAATCCTTACTTTATGTGATGCTGATATTCAGTAGTAAGATTCGACTTACGTCCGTTTTGGCTTATGACCGGTTAGTCGGAACCAAGCTTGGTCGTAAGTTGGATGGTAGGTGTAGGTATTTTTCATAAATGATTATATATTTATAATTGAATTATGTGTAATTAAACTGCGTATTACTGTGCTTGCTATGGCAGTTTGTAAATGCATAATTGGTTTTCTAGTTTTGTGTTGAAGAGATTAGTAAATTGATGATAATGTGACTTAGAGATTTCAAATTAGTCTGGAAACGCATCTCATAGTTCATATTTTGCTATTGAAAGTTCAAAGGTTTTTGTCATTCCATTCATTTGACTCCCACAGTGGAAAGCAGTATTTGTATGCATTTCAGAGTTCACCAATTGGCACTACCCTGTAGTGGCTTGTCTTGAAATAGCCCACATTTCCTATTTAAGTAGTAATGAAACCTGTCTTGTTTCTGCAAAACATTTGGGGTACTGATAGAGAGGTTACAAGGTTTTAAAAGTGTTCCTGAGGTAGCTGGTAGTATAGGTAGCAGATAGGTAGACGGTAATTCAGGAAACTACTACTGTCTTGTCATAAGATTGAAAACAAATGGTACAGGAACATCATGAACACTCAAGATGGTTAGTAAAACTTTATAATTTCAAATTGTACAGGTTCATTCCATGTTGAGTGGACCAGGGATCCCCACCTGACTATCTCCAATTTTGATAAAAATTTACCTGAAGGTTGGCATGTATGTCATACTAACTTTGGGAAAGTTTTAGTTCATGATATGTAATAGTAGTAATGCTATGGCCCTCAGAGTGAAGTCCTCTGAAAATTTCATCAACCTGCAGCATACAATCAACAATGTTCAGGTTATTGCTATGGCAGATCTAGAAGAGTAAAAGTTGTGTAAGTGGACATGCCTATACAACGTTTGGAGCTTATTTCAAAAATTGCAGTCCTAAAACACTCACTTTTTCTTTTTTCACAGTATGAAGCCAAAGTAGGCCAAAAAAAATGTCGCGTAAAATTTAATCTTGAATTGAACTGTCTATATCTCTAAAGAAGAACGTTGTTTTAGTATGACATTATTGTAGCCAGCTACCCAAGTGGACACCGTCACAATCCTAAAATGTCAGACTCCAAACCTTTTAAGTTCCTTTGCTAATGGTACCTAAAAATGCCCTCGCAGACCTCACTAAAGTAAATAACAAAAAGGCACAATACCGTGACTGGAACGATACACAAATAACCCGCACATAAAAAAGAGAGAAGCTTACGACGACGTTTCGGTCCGACTTGGACCATTGACAAAGTCGGACCGAAACGTCGTCGTAAGCTTCTCTCTTTTTTATGTGCGGGTTATTTGTGTACCTCACTAAAGTTTAGGCCCTTTTTGAAGACCAGTAATAAAAAAGCAGCACAACCAATTTTCTTAAAAAAACATCACTAGAAACAGCAAATTCTAAACTACAAGATATCAGTTTTCTGGATAGGCATTTTGTCCTTGAAGGGAGAAAACAGGCCTTAAAATAAGGTGAATTTTTGGCTTGCACTATGTTCTAATGCAAACCAGGAATTTTTCAGTTGCTGTTGTTATGAAGTAAGAACAGGTACAACTTTGTGTTTGTCAGTAGTGTTACTGTGTACTTGTGTAGTATACTTAGATATACCAAGCTGAACAGTTGTCGGTGGCAATTTCAGAAATTATTGAATTAATTGAGACTGATATTTATTTCGCAAATTAAGGTTAATGTAAAAAAAAAAAATGGGGGGGGGGGGCAGGCAGGACATGCACCATTTTTGCCCTTGCCGTATTTTTTTTTTCCTCAATGGCTAATCTGCAGTTGATCAGTTTAAGGCTATTAACACTCTGATTTTCCTTTGAAATGGATTACAGCAGTGTCGGTCTGTTATTCATTTGTTGTTAAAAAAAAAAAAACTGTGTTGCAAACAGATTCTTGATTCATAATTGAACTTCAAACCTGAGTGCTTACTTAACAGCTCTTGGTCTTCAGCTTCAGACTCTCTGAAAAACTTGAAGCCTATTTTCTTTGCATAGAATTTCATAGAATGGCACTCTGTTGAATTGTCAGCTAATTCAACAGCACATGGGTCCAATCGCCCTGGGTTTGCTTCACTTTCAGACCTGATAAACTCTGCAGATTCCATTTTCTCTGCCTGAAAAAAAATAAAATTCTTTTCACTCATTCAGTTGAAATAAGCATCAAACAAACAAAATTTGGGCATGAATATTACAGCTCAAAAATACAAGTAAATGTTACACTGTAGAAAAAACAGTAAAGTATATATCCTAATGAAACATATTCAATAATGTATGATCTAACTGCATAAAATCAGTAATTTTCTCCAAAATTTCTGTTATATTAATGTTTTTTTTTGAAAATCGGCAATGTCAAAATTACTATCACGGTTGTCACAACACTTCTTTTGACAACTTTAAGCTTAATTTGCAAAATAAATACCAGTGCCTATCAGTTCAGATAACAATTTCTGAAATTGCCACCAAAAATTGTATAAGGACACCCAAACATGAAGTTTTAGCTGTTGTTGCTGTATAACAGCAACTGAAAAGTACCTGGTTTTCATTATAACATTATGCAAGCCAAAAATCACCTTATTTGAAGGTGTTTTCTCCCTTCAAGGGCAAAATGCCTGTCTAGAAATACAGTAGACCGTTACATTACACTGTAGTTATTTATGTTCCTGAAAATGCCATGTTAGGTAAAACTGTGTTAGATAAACTGAAGAACTTGTGGGAAAAATAGGGTTACGTTCCTGGAAGCCCCCAAAAAGCCAAACAATTTTTTTTAGACCAACAGATTTTGCAAAAATAAAAGCGAATATATAATTGTAGTTCATTGTCGTGATGTATTATGTTTTTTACTGCTTGAGACTACAAATGCAACAGAAATAATAGTACAGTGGACCCCCGCTTAACGATCACCTCCCAATGCAACCAATTATGTAAGTGTATTTATGTAAGTGCATTTGTACGTGTATGTTTGGGGGTCTGAAATGGACTAATCTACTTCACAGTATTCCTAATGGGAACAAATTCGGTCAGAACTGGCAACTGAACATACTTCTGGAATGAAAAAATATCGTTAACCGGGGGTCCACTGTATTTCTTACCTTAAATTGTGGGTGCTGGTGTTTGTGGATAATTGTGAAGAGAGTGGAGATGCATGGTTTAGCCCTACTGGGCTGATATGGATGGTTGTTGGTTGTCGGTAGAAGTGGATGGTAGAGGTTCTGGTACTAAAGTCGATGGTTGAATTGGAGTGTGCATAAATTCTGTAATGGATCTCTGGGCTCTTTTACCCTGCAGTACATTATGCAGCTGATGGTAAGGCATCATCAGCTAGTCTAGACCCCTTTTCAAAGCACTGCTTCTAGATTTGTCAAGGTCCTCCCTCGTATCTGTGCATTGAGCTCTGCCAACATTTCCTCTGGACTCCTGTCGTCATCATCATCATCTAAGAGCTCATTCACATCTTCTTTCATATCTTCAAAACCATCACCTGGTAATCTCCTTGCCAGCTGAACAGTTTCCTGAACCTGATTCTCAAGCAAGGAAAACCAGTGAAAGAGTTAATTACAGAAGGCCATAACTTTTCCCAGCCTACATTTAATGTTGATTTGGGCACTTCACTCCATGCACTTCTAGCATAGCTGATGGCATCTGCAATGTTAAATTTATTCCAGAAACTTGGTACTGCCAGGTTGGAGTCAGTCCATTGATGCAACTAGTTTTTTCACAACTTTTTGTGTGTAGTTACACATGCATGACTTAACTCCCTGATCCAGTTGTTGTATTAAAGATGTTGTATTTGGAGGTAAAAATATAACTTTTACATGTGGGGTCACATCCAGCAAAGCTTGTGGATTAGTACGGGAATTATCAAGAACGAAGAGAGCCTTGAATGCAAGGTTCTTGCTGTGCAGATAAAACTGGACTTCAGGAATCAAGTGATGCTTAAACCGGTCAATAAATATTTCCTCTGTCATCCATACTGACTGGTTTGACTTCCAATTTACTGGTAAAGTGTTTTTATCTACACCTTTCAAAGCACGAGGATTCTTAGTGGTAAATAACCACGGGCTTAAAATTGAAATCACCTAACGCATTACCGCAAAGGAGCAAGGTGAAGCGATTCTTTGCTGTCTTGAAGCCCTGTGCACTTTCCTCTTGCTGACTGATATAAGTTCTTGTTGGCATTTTTTTCCAAAGAACACTTGTCTCATCAGCATTAAACACTTGATGTGGCTCATAGCTACCCTTAGAAATAATTTCCTGCGATTCAGGAGGGAAATTACTTGCTGCTGTATGATCAGCTGAAGAACTTTCACCAGAAAACTTAATATTATGTAGAACTTAATATTTTGTAACTTATTATGCAATTTAAAGTTGTGGAACCAGCCTGTGCTAAACATTCACACTTTTTCAGGCCTTTCTTCCTTATCACACACTAAACAACTAAGGCCTTTTCCCTAATTAACCCTTAAACTGTCCAAACATAGGTCTACATTGACATGCGTAGTGCTCTGAACATAGATCTACATCCAATTTTACACGCTTTCAAATGGAGAAAATAAAGGTCGGAGCACTATGCACGTTAACGTAGGTCTATGTTTGGACAGTTTAAGAGTGAAGATGAAATTAA